ATAAAAGGATACACCAAAAGTTAATTTCCCAGTGGACTTGTGGCCAAAAGTTAATTGATGCATTATTCTGGCATACAAAGATTGTAAAATATTAAAGATTCGCTGATTATAACATAATATGCATTTTAAATATTTATATCCTCAATGCTAACGAAAGACGAAAATATCTTTACAGAAAGAAATTTTTATTAATTAAGTAAATTATGGTAAATGATAAGATGTTTTATGACCACGTATTACTTAGACAAATTTTTGAATTAAGATTTTTAGAACAATAGAACGCAGTAAAAATTAATTATTTAAATGTTACTTATTGTATTTGGAATTTAATTATTATTCATATTGTGGGTAGCCTAATTAAAATTAATGTCATGTAAATAAAAAATAAAAATTAACTTTAATTAACTTAATTTTAATTTTTTAATAGGAAACGTTTTGTATTTTTAAAGTATTTAAGTTTTGTATTTTTTGAAGCAGTGCAAAATTCTAAAAGCAACTTAATGGTGAAGCAATCCTCTTGAGGACGACATTGTTGTATAGATGAGTTTTAATGCGAGTGACTTCAAATGCTCTTTTGTGATACTATGTTCAGATACACCTTAATTTCGCAAAAATCTTAATTTCGTCTTCGTTTTAGCGGAATTAGGTTGCTTTTTCCATTCAAAATTCAGTTTTAAGGTTAGACTGAAATTAAGAAAAATTACCTTTAAATCATTGAAACGCCTGAAATTAAGGAATAGTTCAAATGCAACTATGCGTTAGATAAATTTTAACCAAAAGATAAAGTTGAGATAACGAAGAAGTAACATTTTTGACTTTAATAAAACCGGGAAATATTTGAAAGCAGTGCAAATTTTTAAATTTAAATATAGAGAAAGAACTGTAACTGTTCTTTCTCTATGGTAAAATATGGTGTTTGGAGCATGTTATGATTTCTTTAATTTGTGGCAGTATGAACATTTTCGAAATTAACTTAATTTCATTTTTACAAAATTAAGAAAATTTGGCTGCATAGTATCATGCAGTGTTAAAGACACATATTTTTTTTTAACGAGGACTCAAAAGCATCGAAAGCCTAAGTCAGTGCGAAACTTTAATCCACTAAAAACATGTCCAGACGGAGAGTTCCTCCTGGAACTGCCGTAAGGTATTATGTCAGAAAGGTGTCATGAGCATCAGCTCAAATCGTTAGTTATGTCGTCTGAGTTCATAACAGCCCTATTTCTTAAGGTGAGACCTCTCCTGTGGCGCGTTCGCTGGCACGAAGTCATTCAATGGCTCTAAGTTGAGTCATAATATTCAAAGCAACGGTCGATATTAATCACCATGTATCCGGCGAGTTAATCATCTTCAAAATTAAATTTCTCGGGCAAATGGGTTTGCCAATAGCCTCACTCATCTCTGCTCTGGCTTCGTTGACATGTGAACAAGAGAAGAGAACGTGGTTTGCATTCTCAACGACCGCTTCATAGCTCGGACAAAACGGATCTTCTTTGTATTTGAAGCGATGAAGATACTGTTTAAAGACTCCATGTCTAGTTAGGATCTGAGTGAGATGGAAATCCACGTCACCATGCGTCCTGTGGACCCACACGTCAAGATTTGGGATCAGGGTATATGTCCACCTCCCTTTCATCGAGTCATTCCATCATTGTTGCCATGTAAGCATGGTAGTGCTGCGTGCCTCATCGTTCGTCAATCTACTGTGTCAGATCTCTCAATGTTCGTAGGCCTGTAGGTCAAGCGGCAGTATACCTGCTACAATACATGCAGCATCGTCTGATACAGTGCGAAAAGCACTGATTACACGTAACACGCTTAGTCGGTATGTACTTTTTACCCCTACAACGTATAAGCTCATTCGCATAGCAGAAGTCCAGATGGTAGCTGCATACAATATTACCGTGCTGGTGACTCTTGCCAGGAGTTTACGCTTAGTGGTTCGTACACCCGAGGTATTTGCCATGAGTCGTGATAGGGCAACTGTGACTTTAGCCGCATTCTCATTTACCGCCCTTAGATGGTCTCTAAAAGTAATCCTCGTATCTATGAGAACACCCAGGTACCGTAGAGATGACTTTGAAAGACACATATATTAATTCGTATATGTTAATTGCTTCATTAAATTTTTATTGTCCACAAACACCAACGAAGTATTGTATAAATGCAAGACTTGGCAAGAAGTTTGAACTAGATATCAGTAACAGTACTACCAACTTAAAAAACAGAGTTGCCAGAATTCAGAAGTCTGCAAATTTTAAATAAAAATTTCATTTTGTCAAAGTTGTATATAAAGACATTAAATACATAAAAGTGTTAAAAGTTTAATAACTATATATAAGATTTAAAACATATTTTGTCTAGTTTTTTTATGTCTTAGACATAGATTTCGTTTTGTAAGCAATTTCTTTTATTTTTGTTCACTTCCTTTTGTACTCAACAAAGTTTCATAACGAATTCAATACGCAACTTCATATAAAGATGAAAAATTTAAGTTGCTACTGATTTATTATATCTTCTCTCCTGTGACGTAATGTAATCATGTAAGAAATATAACATTTCTTTATGAAATATTTTTCAACAAAAAATAAATTGATTATGCATGAAGTAATTTAATAAAGCCTTACGTACGTGAATGAGCAGAATATCCTAGTAAAGTCCTTTAGGAAAATATACGCAAAAGTAATTGAATTAAAATTGTCGGTAAGAATCGTCAATTTTTATTTTACGCATTTCTAAAATTTTTGTATATGATAAATGTATACTTTTCATAAGATAATTTAGTTTGTGATCATATTTAAATATATATTGCTAAACTGTATTAACGAATATTGGTGAATAATGTGTCTTTTAATTTTTAACGTTATCATAATGAATAATTATTAAACAATATTTCAAATTTTTTTTTTTACAAAGAATATTTGCATTAATATATCAATAAAAAATAGTTTTAATGTTGACCTTTCTTAATTTTAAATTATAATTATTGATATTAAGTTACACTTACAAAGTAAGCAGTGAAAAAATACTATTAGACGCGAAATGAAGAATATTAAGTTTAATGGCATCTAACCAGATATTTAAGAGCATAAAATACATGATAGTTGTTGGAATTAAGAATAATTATATATTAATATTTTTCCTCAATGTTGCATTTAAAATATCTTTAAAACTTCTTCGTATTTGCATTCACTGAACATACTTTTGTTTAAATTTTATCAAGACAATATACAATTTTAAAGCAAATAATTAATGCAAATCAAAATCAGAAATTTAAAACGTTTTTATAATTACTAAAATAAGTCTTTTGTATGTACATATTTGAAACATTCAGTTCTAGGTCAGTGTATTTCAGTTTAAAACATATTGCGGACTGGGAACATATTTAATGTGCTTTACTATGATAAGTGAAATAATTAATGTGTTTTGAAATGTTCGTTACTAACGTATTCATTCGTAGAAAATAATATCAGTAATTTACAGGTGGTTAAAAAACTCTGTTTCAGACTTATTAATATAATCAATGAATACAACTGCTCTAGAATTCTCAGTGTAGCCTGCCTTTTCTTAGTTTATATATAGCAAGTATATTCCGCAGTAATGAGCAGTATAGCCTGCAATAATTTATTACTTTTTCATTTATTTCTTATTCGTAATTATCTTTTTCTTTTAGTTAAATATTTTAATTCAATTTTTTTTTCTGTGAATAAATAATTTCTAATTTTAAATTTGATGTACTATAACAAGAAATCGATTTCAAATGGAAAAGGCAATAATAGTGAGAAAATTTTATGTACAACTATTAATATTATATGTGAAATATATTATAATATATATGTTTAAATATATATATATATGTAAATATATATACATATATATATATATATATATTCAATTATCTTTGTTCTTTGAAAACATTTATTTTTTTATTGTCTATATGTAATTTTTAATAGCTAAATATCGAGTCTTGTCCAAATACAGAATAGCGTATTAACGCACTAAACCAGCGGTATACAAAAACTACGTTCCTCAAATTTGGAAGTTTGTTCATTTCTTTTTATTAATAAATGAACTACATATATCCTTAATATTAAATATTATATTAAAATGAAATTGTCTAATTATTATTACAATATATGACGTTTTCTTTTCTAAGCAAATCACAAAAGAACACAGGCTTATTTCAAAAATAACATATGAAACAACAACACTGCTCGCTTATTTAGTACAACCTTTTTGAAACCGCTTAACTAATAAGCAGCTCAAATTACATGGTTGCCAAGACTACAAACTCGTCTATTGTGAACGATTTTTGGAAGTACATATGAAATTTCCAGTTCACTGTCAACGAATGATTTCGTTAATTATTCGTATTTCGTGTCGACATTGTTTGTAACAAATACGTTTTTTTTTTATTTATTATTTTACTGTTAAAAGGCATGAAAATTATATTTTATATACAATTATGTAAAAAAAATATTCTCATCAATAATTTCCAAAAATTATTATTCATTTTCGAAATTTTAACTTCAAATTTTATTACGCGTTTTGCATATGTAAGCCTAACATATTTTCCGTTTTGTCCAGAGTTGCCATCGAAAGTAGTGCTTATTTTATTTGTTCTTTTGCGATTTGCTTACAAAAGAAAAGGCCTATTATTATTATTATTTTTTAACACGAAGCTAAACATATTTAGTAATAAATAAATATAATATTACAATATTTAATATATAATTAATATATTAATTATATTAAGTCATTTTAAACTAAACTAAATTAAATAAAATTTATTTAAATGCACAAAATAATATAATATAACTTAATATTATTATAATATCCTTTAAAAAAAAGAAACTGTTAACAGCTCCCCCTTCATTAAAAATTATTTCACATTAAAAACTAAAAAACGAAAATGACATTAAAAAAGACATAAAAATATTTGCTGCTGTCAACATTTTTATTTGAAAAAAAACTCATTGTTTAAACGTTGTCATTTGCAGGTTTCCTCTCATGGGATGTATCCGATTGTCATGTCGATTTGGAAGAGGAACTCAATACAATTACACAACAAGCACCCGAGGGAGAGGAAGCTCGTTATGGTAAGTGAAAATAAATCTTAACACGTTTCACACTTTTTAGATTTTTTCTTTTTGATTTAATTCCTGTTGCAATGATGTATGAAGAGAAACGCTTTAAGCTAAAATAAAGATTATTAAAAGTTGAAATATTGTGGGAAAAATATTTCAAAGTTAATCAAAGATACGTGATATCATAATTTAACTAAACTCGTACTTTTACTTATCGAACATGAATGGGTAATTTTTATTTAATAGTGAAAAAAAATTTAAATACTATATATAAATTAAAATTTACTGAACGATGATTATTAACTGGAAGATATTAATCATGTTATCTATAGGTGTATTCTTTTGACATAAATGTTTCAATAAAACACGTATCGCTTAAAAATTAGTCCACTTTCCTGAAACTGCTTAAAAAACAAGACATTCGCATTACAATGGTGCTAAATCTTAAAACTGATCTATTGTGAATGAGTTTTGGACGAAAATGGAAAATTCCAGTCAATTGACAGACGAGTTTGTTTATTATTTATGAATGTTGCGAGTGTTTAGAGTAAATTGAAATATTTTGAATAAGTTAGATTTTTTAATAATTGTAATTTTAGTAATTGTGAAGAAGTCATTGGTTAATTATTTATTAAGAAATTGTTAATTTATGTTCCTTAAAAAATGCAATATATGAATAAATACAAACCACAATCGTTATAATAAAAGCAAAAAATTTGTAAAACAGTTGTATGAAAAATAAACAGTGTCAAATATTGCTAATTCAGCATTATCTAGTGATGTTAGAAGTTTGAAAATTATATAAACGAATTTATTGACAATCTCGTATTACCTTCTGAAAAGCTGGACCTATCAAGAATTCCAAATATTTGGTCAAGTGTCGTTCTTGTATTCTCCTTATTTCACTATTTTTCTCCGTTATCATAGATAAACATGTATTTATCAATTACAAATTTGTTTAAATTTTTTTTACTTCTCATATGTTTACTGATTTAAACAGTGATGCCAAGTTTTTCTTAAGCAACCATAAGTTGTTCTATTGGAGCACTCATGTCAAAAGAATACATCTTATGAAAGCAGAAATTATGACAAAAAACGCTTACAAACATAATTACAATTTTATGAAATGCAAGATACTATTGATAGAGTTCCATTTTTCCCAATTTTCCAAGATTTATTAGAAAGCTTGTGGTAAACAGGTTACAGTGCACCATTTAGCAGTTACCGTCTGTCCGATCATCAGAAGAATAACAGTTAAGAAATTTTTGCAGATAAAATACATTGACAATATTACAAATGAGATGAGTTAGCACGTCCTATGTTTCATATCATCAACTATTAGTTTATATCTAGGTCTGGAATCAATCTACATTACCTGTTACAATTATATAGAACGAACCTCCAATTTTTAAATTTTTGAAAAATATGTTGAGGAAAATCCACATGATAGCTAATATTCGGGATACAGCAATGGCATTTAAGCAATAAAATAATTAATAATTATTATATTTGTCAATTTTGAATCTTCATTAGTTATAGATTTCGGTTATCCTGTGTAAAGTTTACATTACCACACAAATATATCCTATTTGAAATTTTCGAAAGCACTTCGAGACAATCACAAGCGATGGTACATTCTCTCCATATGCTCTGTAGCACTCGTCAAATATTCTGCTGCCTTAAAATGATGCCAAAATCAGTAAAGAATGGAAAACAGAATTTCTTGTTATAATGGCAATGCTATTTGTATCGACTCTTTGCTAAAGAGTTTTCAGTATCTTGTTTCCAAACTTCTTATAAAACATTGCAATGCTATGCCAAATCAGATGATGGTTTTGATGATTGTTTAAATTGTCAAAAATTTATTCCACGTTACCAACTAAGCAAAATGTTTTTATTACCTCCGTATGCTTTTATATTGATAGTAACTATTCATTCAAGCTTGTAGGTCATCTACAATATACATATATACTTCTATACCAATAGTTCGCAACCTTTTTTTTTGACCAAACACACTATGATATTGTTTTTAATATGAACCACAAAGTTTAAGAATAAAAACTGTATCATTATTTTAATATGCTATATGCATCTCTGGTAATGTATAATAAATTTTAGAAGTGCATAGGTGCATTATATAGGCTATAAAATAGATGTATTATTATTTGAAATTATTTGTGCTTATTTTCTAATAAGGGTGGTCTCAGTGGACAAATATAAGCTATGTACCAATAACTGTCCGCAGACCACCGGTTAGGAACCACTGTTCTAAGCGGCATGATCTATAGTTCCTATCTGTAGGTACTATCGGTAGACTCTTCGGCGCTGCTATAATTTTTTTTTTATTGTGTTACGAAGATTCACTAAATTTTTTTTCCTATTTGATGGAGGTATTGTGATGATGGTTGTTGATACCATTTAAGAATAATTGTTTATGATATTATTTTTATGTTTTTTTTAATAGTTTATGTTTAAAGTGGAAAACTGGTACATATACTTATTAGTTTATAAATATATCTTCCCCAAGATTTTTAATAAAAACTAAAAATAGGTTTATTGTGAGGTCAAGGCCACTATTGTATATATATATATATATATTATATAGTACAATATAAAATTTAAAATTCATTTTTATTTTAAATATTATTAAATTTTAATTTTTTTTGGTTTTTTTTTTGCTCTGAAACGATGTGTTGAGGTTAAAATATTGAATTCATGTTGGCGTGAAAAATTTCACCAAAACACATGTGCACAAGTGGAGCATATTACTCACACACACACGCATAAAATGCTTTATAAACGCACACACATGCAACGATTTAGCATATGTTAATTTCAATGGTTAGTTGTCGTTTGCTGATGGCGCGGTCATATTTAAAACATAGCAACGACATTTTATGGTTTACAGCACATTTAAGCGGATTTGCTGCTGGGTTGGATGAGCAGCAGGAGGAAGCATGTTTAAAAATTTATTCTTTATTTTTCTGTATTTTTTCTTAAAATTTTATTTTATGTAAAAACATTTTTAATGTACTTGACATGAGTTGCAACTGTCAAGCACGCGTTTTGCTATATTCGCTCCTACATTTTTCCAAGTGTATTAAATTACCTACAAGCTAATAAGCCACTTAAGTCACTTGTTTGCCATTTTGCTCTAATGTGCTGCCACGCTACTCAAAAAATGAAGCACAAACAAAATCCAGAACTTTCGCAAAAGAACTCAAGAGGTGCTTCGTTTTGTGCTTTTTCAAGCAAATAATTTATTCAAATTATGGAGAGCCTATTTAATTAGCACTGCTAAAATATTCACTTTTCACATTCATGTGACCAAAATTCTTTTTAAAATTTATTTATGGAAAATATATAACTTGGGTGTGTGAAATAGTTTAAAAATCTAATTAAAACCAGTTTAAATTGCAATATACGCTCCGACTATTACTTGCAGAAATATACTATAATCCAATGCATCCATTGAATCACTGTAGGCTAAACGAAACTTCATCTATTCTGGGCACCTGAGTGTAGAGTGCATGACTGTCTTATAATTACAACCCTTATTACAAATATATGTATTTATCATTTGTATTTTTGAATAATACATATACATTATGGTGAATATGTATCATTCACCAACGGAGTGTATTTTACATATAAACATATCTATAAATATAAAAGTTTAATAATAGCAATAAACTAATCTCACGACCATTGGAAAACTTGCTTACTTGGTTGACGCATACAAATTTTTGTCTAAAAGTGTTTATCTCCTACCAGTTTTTTTACTCTGGTATTGTTAACACTTGTGGGGTGTATGACACTTAACTAACATTTAGTAAATTTTCTTACTGTTTAAAAAACGATACACTACACCATCCCGTTTTGTGCGATAGGTAGAAAGCACCGAAAATCACAATGTGAGACTTGAACCCACTACAATCACCTTAAAGTTGCGTTCAAAGGATGCAACCCCATTCCAATCAACGGATGCAATCCAATAATGAAGGGCAGAGAAGAGAGTAGGTAGGCTTAGTATTTAGCAAGCTAAATTTATTAAAGCCAGAAAGCACGGTGGTACTTGTTTAGAAAAGGATGTCTTAAAATGTGAAGGGGGTGGAGTTGGCGCAGAATTTGGGAGTGCGTAGCTAGGTGTAAGATCTACGCTCGGGATTATAGTGGGCCTGGTAGTAGAACGGAATGAGTGGCGGATGAACTAGCTTATCTGAAATACAGTGAGTAATGATATGGAGGGGGGGGGGATCGGGGTTAAGCCTTATGGTCTCAAGCAGCACGGTTGGGAGAATGTATACCTGGAGGACGTCTAGAAAATACCGACAATGTGTAAAAGGTCTCCTAGCGTGTGAGAGTAGATACTTGTCTATTTGCGTAACCTTTTCAGAGCTGAAGATGAACGAGTTGTGGAAGTTTTTGCCACATAAGAGAAGCTTGTAGTTCCAATAAAAACAACTACTAAATAAGAACTAGTGTTTTCATGAAATACAAAAGTTTTTTTTTCATCAATCTACAACAAAAATAATTAACTTCGAATTTCCAAATTTGCATGACAGCACTCATTCATTTAGAGTTCTTAGTCAGTGTATTTGTGTAAGGTGTATTGGTCTATTTGTTATTCTACCTGACTTACTTTCTGATGACTCTCTGTGAATTAATCATAAACTGTCTGTTTGTGCGCCTCTCTGTTTGCATATTTATCTGTTTGTCACTATCAATTTATCTATCAAAAAATAATTTGGTAACATCATCATTTTCCGAGTTTAGAGCGTTTTTATGAAACAACTGCTGTTAATGAATTTATGTTCTCCAAATTATTTTAACATATAAATTATGTTGAAATATTACAAACTTGACAATATATGTCGAAAAAAGTTGAAAGTAAATAGTAATTAATTGATTTGTAATAGAGCTATGTATTCGTATGACTGGGGCATTGATACTTCATAAGAGGTGGAAAGCATATTATTTTATTTTGTGATAAACATGATAATTTTCTAATT